ATACAGAAATTTCAAATCAAATCAAATTCAAATTGACAAAATATTTGATTCGATTTGACTTTGAGGAACCCTAATGGTCTCTATAAAATCAAATATACTGAACCCAGTAAATTATAAAATTTAAAATTCTGAATTGTGATTTTCCTAAATAGATATTGGGATACTAAAGTTTTTTTTGTTATAAATTCATTTAACTAAAAATTCTAATAGATCAATAATTATATTATTAATATTAGATATTTTATTTATAAGATATTTATTAATTTAATCAAATTTGATTTATTTGATTTAAAATAAATATCAGAATACTATTACTGATAACTAGACCAATTGATTTCATTAATTAATTATATTATTATTAATAATAAAAATATAAATACAGTTATATTAGCTATATAATTTATAAGTTCATTATGTTTGCATTTTAATTATAATAGAAATCAAATTCTCAACATAAGTATTAGCATGCTACCAAGAGTCTAATGTGTCTTTTGATATATTCATTTTTGTTATTATTCTATTTTAGTTAAACTTTATTATATGTATAAGCATTCTATTACTTTTTATAGTTAAATTCTTATACATAAAATATTATTATATGTACTATGTTCATCTTTAATATATATATAATAATATTGTAGTTAATGCTATTTTCTTTTTTAGTTTTGATAGACTAATTACCAATATTTCTATTTCAGTCTACATGTAGTAAACACACTGAGATTTATAAGAAATAAGGTAAATATCGCAAAAATTTTTATATTCAAAATAAGTTTTTTAGTAAAAAGAAAATTTATAAATTGTATCAATAGATCTATAATTAAAATATGTCTTGTAATTATAAAATAATGCTGCTTAAGGAATGTAAAAAAAAATTTATTAAATTTTGAAAGAATGCTTTATTATGAATATATAAAATACTCTATTTAGCATGCTTGTTTAGCTATAAAAAATTATAGTGACATAGTAAATAAAAAATTTATTAATAAAAATTTTTGTATTTAAAGACTTTTTCTCTACTTTGTCTCCTAATATCTAACATTATAACTTCTAAAAGACTAAAAATAAGATATTAAGTATTTATTAAATTACCTATATCAAAAACTCAAAAAAAAGTTATCTGTATATATAAAATATACAAAAATGAAAGAAAACCCTATAATCCTTAAACAAGAGATACTTATATTGAAAAATATAGAATTTATAAGGAATTAGTAGGTTCTGAACCTCAAGCCAATATTTTTTCTTCTATTAATTCTCAAATAAAAAGCAATAGCATATCACAAACTGATATTTCTAATTTAATTGATATTAATTTTCAAGAAGAATCTTTATTTGTAACTAAAAAAAATAAAAAGAAAACAAAGACTATAATTAGAGAACAACCTAATATTAATATAGTTTTTGAGACTTTAGATAACTCTAATTATGAAAAAGTTACAAAAATTGAACCTGAAAGTGATGATGATAAGGAGACTATAATAGATTATTCTGCTCCTGATATTGAAAGCAGTAATGAAGAAATATTCAAAAATATTAAAAATCTTGAAAACTTTAATTAAAAATTAATATAGATCTTGAAATATCAATAAAGATATTAGCTGCCCAATACTGCAACAAAATTATTAATTAAGTTTATGCATTATCTATTGACTAATCTTGATCAAAACCAATTCAAAAACTTTTCTGAATTTCTATATATGTTCTAAAAATTAATAGGATTAGATCTATATATAAATAATTATACAACATGTCTAGAATATAATAAGTTATATGAACCTGATAAAGTAATAACAAAAAGACCTAAGAGTGTGGCAACTTAGTGAAGTGGTGGAGTTGTCGCACCCCCAGACAGCAGGTCTAGAGTTCGAATCCCACAAACAACGATTTTGAAAAAACTAGATTTGTATCGGTTAACGTTAAGATTATCGGTTGGATCCAGATATCTGTAATCTTGGT